GCTCGCTGCTGCGAAGCCTGGAGACGCGGAATGTGAGATCGTGAGACGGGGCGAGGAGGCGGGGGAGGACGTGCCTACGGTCCAGTTGTTTGCGGTGTCGACAACTCGGGACACGCCCGACGCGCGGACAAACGGTACGTTATCTTCGTCAGCGAGGTGCGCGTACCGGTTGAAGAACACCTGCGCGGATTCGAACGTCCTGTCGATGAACATCAGACACCTGCCTCCTGAATCTCTGAACAGGCCGACGTACTGAGCGGCCCCAAATGCCGTCAGGTCGTCCGCGTCGAGATCATACTCGTAGTCCTCGAGGAACTTGAGACGCTTGTCGGCGAATTTCTTCGCTGACGCGAGGCGTTCGACGGCGACGGCGTAGCGTTGTCCCTCTTCCGCGTTGGGATATCGCGCGCCGTGACGTTGCAGCTGGGCATGACACGATCAGACGCTGCGGTGGGAGCTTCTGTGACTGGACCTACCAAGTTGACCTAGAAGTAGAAGGACGGACGTCAGCTCCAGTCTCCGCGGGATCATCGTAGCGTGAAAGTGAACACAATCTCTGCAACACGCGCACGGAGAAGGCACTTCATGATCCTACGTCTGCGGCGTCCCCGATCTATGAATGGCGGCCACACATACACCCATGCGCAGCCCACACCAGACCTCCGCCGTGCCCATGCTCCGGACCACAGCCTGTCCACCGCGCCCTTCCGGGGCTGCGCACTCCTTATATCCACCCAAGAGCGAACGGCGAACGCACTCACCTGCGTGACATTGCACCCCTCCGGGGGACCCACATATGTCCCCGCCGCGCGCCACGGCGCGTACTGGCCCCACATAGTCTGCACGCCCTTCGGCACATCCAGCTTCGGCGCGCGCAGGATTCCCTCCGCGACAGCCTTCCCCCTTCCCCGTCCTCCTCCCAGTACCTCCTCTACTAAGGCAGCGGCATGTCCGCCTCCACCCCCGATCCAGGGAATGCCGTCCCAGCCGTGCTGGAGGTGCCAGGGGAGGGCCCAGAGGAGGTACGCGCCGAAGACGACGAGCGTAATTGTCGCGCGGATGCACGCGGGGGTCATGCGCGAGCGCGCGGTCGGTCCCGTGCCGTTTGCATCCCCGTTTGCGGGCTGGAGGGTGGCGGAGGAGGAGGTGCCCGCGTGCGGGGCGATGACGGGGAGCTGGGGGAGGGACTTTGTTGACGAGCGGCGGATCGGCATTCGCTTGGTCGGTGGGCATCTGTGCGCGAGGAGAAGAGGGTGAGGGGGGTAGAGGGAGATACGGACGGCGCAGGGCGAGGCTACTTGTCGTCCACGCGTGGTCGAGGGCCAGGATAGGACGCGCAGGGATTTGCATGTCATGTGCCGTGTGGTTTGGAGCGCAGACAAGTGAGGTGGCGGTGATGTCATCCTCGCCTGGCTTGGCGCCCACTCGACAGGGACGCACACGCTGCAGAGTCTCCAGACCCCGCCTTTCACTCTGCGTTCCCATTCGTCGTCTCCATCCACCACAGGTACTGCCATTGCTGGGTCCGATTGGAAGCCGCGCCTGCCCCTCCGCTCAGTAACAACATGCCTGTTCGGAGCGCAAGACCGCGATCGCATGGCGCAGCGTGCAAAGAGGGCCTAGTGGGATTCCAAGACGAACATCGCGTCTACAAGATGAACACCACGTCTACACGACGACTCACGCGCCCCGTTCGTCGTCAGTGCAGTCGGTCTGCCCCCTGTGACTGGGAACCGACGTCCACTCCTGTCTCAGATGCAGCCAGCCTGCGTTCCCGAGCACGCAACAGGGTGGGGCCGCTTAGGCTGTCACAGAGCGTCGCGATTTTGTCCCATCCCCGCACGAGAAACTATCACTGTCCGAGCTGCTCGCTCGGGATTCTCGGTACTCGTCACTCTACTGATGCGCCCGCAGGGCCGCAATCCTGCTCCCGTGCTCGCCCAAACAAATCATCGCGGAAGCTCGCATCCTGTACGTAGTATCCTGCTATCCGGACTTTGTCATGCCTCCGCTGAGCGCGTCTGACAGTAGCTAGTCGCCTTG